ATACAATCGGTTCACAAAATGACATATTATTAGAGAATTTGTTGTATTGTTAGAGAAAAGACCGGAGAAAAGAGTAAAGACGATAGAAACGAGTGTTGCCTTTGAGCTTAAAATGAAAAATTGGTGGAACTGTACCTAAACTTTCCTATTCGTCTTAAATGGGAGAACAACTCTCCTCCCGGAACATAATCCATAACCATATATAGGTTACTATTATCCTATACAATCGGTTCACAAAATGACATATTATTAGAGAATTTGTTGTATTGTTAGAGAAAAGACCGGAGAAAAGAGTAAAGACGATAGAAACGAGTGTTGCCTTTGAGCTTAAAATGAAAAATTGGTGGAACTGTACCTAAACTTTCCTATTCGTCTTAAATGGGAGAACAACTCTCCTCCCGGAACATAATCCATAACCATATATAGGTTACTATTATCCTATGTGTGAGTCAAGCGTTTAGTTTGCAATTAATTCATACATTGTATCATTTAGTTATTAGTTAGTCAACAGCTCTTATTGGCCGTTGAGTTGAGTATAACTTAAATTCAAATAAAATAAGATAAAGCTAATAATAATAATAATTAAATAAGTAGTGATTATAAGTGTAATAAACGTTAGAGTAGTGTAGACTATGGTATGAATGAGAATCGTATGGATGAATGTATGATAAATACCTTGAAGTGTGCATCTAGGTGAACCAGGAATGGGAAGTCAACCGCATGTAAAATTCGTTTCTCATTTAAAGTGTGTTCCACTTGTTTTAGTTTCACTACCTATTCATCAGCAAAAAACATCATTCATTAAATTGACAACACTTTGCAAACACTTAAATCACAATTCATTAAAATTTCTATAGAATGCATAAAATCGATGAAACAAATATCAAGTATATTACAAGTGCTGCAACTCTAGTGAATCAATAGCTACTCCAACTGTAATGCTCGTGAATGGGTATTACGGTATGATAGCCGTAATGAGTCTTACTTTTTGTTTGTCTAGTATTTTCATAGCGAAGTATTTGCCGGCCTCGTTGTGGCCCTGTTTGCGCTGCACAAGCATTACCCGTCCGA